TTGTTTCGCGATTTCGAAAGCCTGACCCAGGGAAGCGGTCGGGACCTCAAGGGACGACGCTGGGACAACATCAGATCCGCGGATGTCCAGGGAAGCCGCGCGCGGCCAGTCATGTTTTGACGTTCTCGTCGGTACCTGCAGGGTTTTTTCCTGCCTCGGGATGCGCTCCAGCAGCCGCGTCTCGGCGGGAGCGCTCCGGGGGCGCCCGAGCTGGGGTGACCTCTGATGCGGGCTCGCAAGGGCCCCCCCCCCGCTGGCCTGCGGGCATCCTTGCGGCCTCCTGAGGCCGCACACCAAAGGTCAAGGGAGGAGACACCACCCCGACCACCATCACTGGCGTTTACAATGGTCAGAGGCGTATGCGAGACACTGGCCAGTCGTGCCCTGCTCGATGCCTTCCTTGGGCGCGTCTTCTGAAGCGCTTTGCTCGTAGAGGTTCTTATTGGAAAGGTCAGTTTCCTTCCCCACAAAGTACCGTATGCCAAGGACCATGATAATGATGATGATGATGATGATGATGATGATGATGATGGTGGTGATGATGCTGATTATGATGATGATGGTCATGGTGATGTTGGTGATGATGATGACGAGATGCTGATGACGCTTATGATGATGTTGATTTTGGGATTGATGCTGCTGAGGATGAAGATGAAGATGAAGATGAAGATGATGATGATGATGATGATGATGATGATGATGATGATGATGATGATGATGATGCTGATCATGATGATGATGATGATGATGATGATGGTGGTGGTGGTGGTGGTGGTGGTGATGGTGATGACGATGGCGATGGCGATGGCGATGGTGGCGGAGATGATGATGATGCTGCTGATGATGATGATATTGTTACTGATGATGATGACAGTGATGTTTGTGGTGATGCTGATTATGATGCTGCTGATGATGATGATGATGATGAGGATGGTGATAACGATGAGGATGATGTTGACGATGAGGATTGGGATGCGGATGGTGATGATGATGATGATGGTGGTGGTGATGATGATGGTGATGGTGATTGTGATAGTGGCGGTGATGGTGATGAAGATGGTGATGATGATGCTGATGACGATGACGATGTTGATGATGCGGATCATGTGGTGGTGATGATGCTGTCGACGATGAGGATCGTGATGATACTTGATTAGCATATGGTGATTATGTTGGTCATGATGATGCTGGTGCTAGTGATGTTGATGATGATGATACTGATTGCGAACATGATGATGATTATGACGACGATGAAGATGATGCTAGTGAGGATTATGGTGACCATCATGATGCTGGGGAATGGGTGATGGGTGATGGTGCGAGACTGCGACGGAAAGCCGTGGCCAGAGGTACTGGGCCACGGCTCCTTACGATGTTGATGATGTTGCTTCCGCTGGTGACGTCGGATGTGAGCGACGGGGATGGGGTGGACGGGCGGGGTGGGCTGGGCTGGGGTGGAAAGGCGGAGGGCGGAGGTGAGTCGGATGGGATGGAAGATCGGGGAGGAAGGCTCGTGTACAGTCGGACCGTGGCATACAATCGAGGATGGTTCATGGAGGTTGCCCTACTGTTCGTGTTTGCTGGATGTGTGTTCGCATCCTGGGTGAGGGCACCCCCGAATGTTCTGTGCGTCTGGGCCGGCGGAGGGCCACACGTCCTTGAGGGAGATGTCCTCGTGTCCCAGGTCGGGCTGTGTAGCGGGGCGAGATGAGATGGTGCTGGCCAGGGGTACGTGCGCGTGGAGAAGCAGGCGATGCCAAAGGACAGCCCGTTAAAGCAGGACGCAGCAGGCATCCTCGGGCGCAGACCCACGGCGGCGCCCTGCGGCATCCGAGCGGTGGCCCGGCTGGTGTTGCCTGGGCGGTGCAGCCCAGCTGGCCGAGGTGCTGCTCTGGGGGTGCTGGTCTGGCCATCTGGGCTGCCCGCGGTTACACAAATATTACCGCACTTTGCGCGGCGTGGCCTGGGGGGCGGAGGAGGATGGAACGGCCGAGGAGGAGGAGGAGGAGGAGGAGGAGGAGGAGGAGGAGGGGGAGGAGGAGGGGGAGGAGGAGGAGGAGGAGGAGGAGGAGGAGGAGGAGGAGGAGGAGGAGGAGGAGGAGGTGTGCCCTTCTCGGGGGGGCGTCGGGCGGAGGGCGGCGCGGGTCGCCGGAGATGTGCGCCCGTGCCTCCCCGCGGCGCGCCGCGCGCAGGCAGGCGTCAGAAAGGCGCAGGATTGTGTGGCGACGTCTCGGCGGACCGAGGGCCCGGGCGTGTGGAGCCAGCCGCCTCTGCGCATAGATCTGCTCGTGCACCTGTTGTTTTTTTCACCCGGGCCGCACGTCGTGTCGGCTGCCCTGGTGTCCTGGGGCCCTGCCGCCAGGAGGGCGGGGAGGACCGGGAGAAGGGGGGAAGGAGCGAGAGCGAAAAAGAGAGAGAGAGAGAGAGTTATGCTGTTCCAGCCTAGCTTAGCATTGATCGCCAGTGCCGAAGCTTGGGGGTTTTCACGCGCCGGGCCCTGGGAGGCGATCCCCGTTCGACACCGTTTCGATACTCTCCTGGGTGTTCGAAGTCATTTCTGGGACGTGGCCCTCCAGTACGGTGGGAGCAACATAACGAGAGAAGCAGCAGCGACTTCTCGCTGCGGGCCAGACCAAATGGGGAGACCCGCCGAGGCAAGGAGGCCTTTGCCGTCCACGGCCGAGCCGCAGACCAGCTGCTCTTCCGGGTCCGGGAGCTCTCCCAGCTGTCCGCCGCCAGGCTCGCCGAGCTCCAGAAGCGGCTGAGCCGCCAGGCGCGGGCCCACCTCCCCAAGAATTTTTTGAGGCGCCCGGGCCCTCGGAGAGCGTCGTGATTCATCGAGGGGAAAAAAGGAAAGAGCCCCCAACTCTATTGACACAGTGAAGACGTGGCCTCCCTGAGGCCCCCGTGTTCGCATTGGGGATAATGCATCTGGGCGGCTCGGGTAAATACATCTGCAGGACAACAACTCCCTATCCCTAATGTTTTTGGCCCTCCTAACTTGGGCCCCATCCCAAAGGGTTAGGGGCCCTTTCTTCTCAGACATGCGACGTCCTGATTTTTTCAGGACGGCGTCCCTGGAAATCCTGACCCTGTCCCCGGGACCGGTTTTTCGTCCTGAGTCGTTTTGTGACGGTCCCGAGGCCCGGCGAGGGACCCCCGGGGCCGAAAATAGCCAAAAGCCTCCCGTCCCGAATTTGTTTTTACGACGCGATCATGTCGGGGTTGGTGAAGCAGTGGCGCCCTCCTTTCCGCGACGGGGGCGCGGCGCCGCCGGGGCTTCGGAGCGCCCCACTCCTGTGGCGGGCGGGCCCCGCCTGTGCCGCGGGCCGCTCTCAGGGGGTGGCCCCGAGCGGTCCGCGAGCGGCCCTTGCAGGGCGCCGCAGTGCCCCAGCGACGACGACGCCGACGACGACGCCGACGCCGACGACGACGCTGACGCCGACGACGCCGACGCCGACGACGCCGTCGACGACGACGCCGACGCCGACGAAGACGACGACGCCGACGACGACGAGAGCGACGACGAGAACGACGACGACGACGAGGACGACGAGGACGACGACGCTGACGCCGACGCTGACGACGACGACGACGACGACGACGACGACGACGACGACGACGACGACGACGACGACGTGGCCTTTTCGCAGAAAGGGTTGGTCGGCGGCGCAGCGAGAGGGGGGAAGCGAGAAGGAGAAGGCCTCCGGATCCTTGGCACCGCGCGGAGGTGCCCATGTTTTTTGGGGTGGGCAAGGGCCATCGAGGAGCATTTGAGGTTAGCTTGCGAACAACAAAGAGGCACGCACGAACCCGAGCAGTGCACGGGGAATGGGCGTCCGAGCGATGACGAGTCTCAGCAGGCGGCGGGGCTTGTCAGAAGGCCTCCAGCCTTTGAGAGGTTTTCTGCGTCGGGGGACTGCCGAGCCTTTTGAGGAGGCCCGCCCCTTCTCCACCCCCCCCTGGGCTCGCCGCCGAGCAGGGGGTGGCGTCGCGGGGGGGGGGCGGGGCGGACTTCTGTCTGAGAAGTCGGGTGGGCGTCCAGGAGGGGCCCCTCTGCCGGCTGCTGAGAGGCGTCCCTAAGGGTCTCCTCCTCCTCCTCCTCCTCCTCCTCCTCCGCTTCCTGTTCCTCCTCCTCCCCCTCCTCCTCCTCCTCCTCCTCCTCCTCCTCCTCCTCCTCCCGCTCCTCCTCCTCCCGCTCCTCCTCCTCCTCCTCCTCCTCCTCCTCCTCCTCCTCCTCCTCCTCCTCCTCCTCCTCCTCCTCCTCCTCTTCCTTCCCCCCCGTCTCGCCTCGTGGTCGAAAACATGTCCGTGTCCGCGGCCTCCCGAGCCAGGCCCCCGGGCCGCGACCCCCCCCGCGGACCGGCGGGGCGCTCTTGTTCGCGAGCGCCCCGCGCGGAGCGTGTCTGTGCGACCGCGCATCCGCGGGAAGCGCGCCCTGAAGTCCTGGCCGCAGGGGCGTGTCACGGATCAGAGGAGGAAAGCTTGGACGTACCCCTGCCTCTACCCTCCGCCCGCTGCCCCCTTTTTGGGCCTCCTGGGGGGCCCTCGTCGCCGCCGCTGGATTCGCCTCGGAATCCTGGTCAGGACCCGCCCCGGGGGAGGTTCGGGGTGCAGGGGTATGGATACCTGTTGGTTTCCCCAGTGGATGCGTTCGCCGCTCGTGACCATCACGGTCTGGCCCGTCGCCCACTCTGCCCGCGCTGCTGGTGCTCTCCTGCAGGCAGCAGCCGGCGTCGTGCACGAACTGCCACAGACAAGACAGAGGAGGCTAGGGCCTCCTCGCGGGTGCGTCGTGCACGAACTGCCACAGACAAGACAGAGGAGGCTAGGGCCTCCTCGCGGGTGCGAAGCCAGTCGCGCTTCGCGGCCTGGGCGAATGCAGAGCGAGGCGCGAGCCCCTCGTCCTGCTCCGGAGGCTGGGCGCGAAAGCGCGAAGACTGTTGCCCTGGAGGAGGCAGGTCCGCCCGCCCTCGGCTCCGTGGCCGCGGGGGCATCCCGGCGGGGGCCGGCTCGCTCTGCGAGGGTCCTCTGGGGGGCCCGCGTCTGGCAGGCAATGGTGTCCAAAAATGCTCGCGTCGTGAAAGCTTCAGGATTGATTGCTGCTCGTCGTTTTCGGGCTCCGCCCGCGCCATCCAAGAGGCAGCCTCCTTCTGAGAAGCCTTCCCCCCCCCTCCCCCTCCCCCCCCCATCTGCGCGCCGCCGGGGCGAACGACCCGGGGTTGAAAAATGAGCGGCGAATTATGCGGCGCGCATATAGTATTCGGCACCGCCGCCCCGCACCTTCCTCGATGCAGTTGATGAGTGAACAACACACAGAGACACACACACAGACACACACAGACACACAGACACACACAGAGGCACACACAGACACACACACACAGACACACACAGACACACACACACAGACACACAGACACACACAGACAGAGACACACAGACACACACCGACGCATACAGACACACACACAGACACACAGCCACACACAGACACATACACACACAGACACACACACACACAGATACACACGCAGACACAGACACAGACACATACACAGACACATACACAGACACATGCACAGACCCCCCCCACACACACACACACACACACACACACACACACACACACACACACACACACACACACACACACACACACACACACACACACACACACACACACACACACACACACACACACACACACACACACACACACACACACACACACACACACACACACACACACACACACACACACACACACACACACACACACACACACACACACACACCCACACACCACACCCACACCCACACCCACACCCACACCCACACCCACACCCACACCCACACGCACACGCACACCACACGCACACGCACACGCACACGCACACGCACACGCACACGCACACGCACACCACACACCCACACCCACACCCACACCCACACCCACACCCACACCCACACCCACACCCACACCCACACCCACACCCACCCACTCACACACACACACACTTTTTGCGTCCGCGGCTAGGCAGAGTCACCGCGCTGGCGATGGGGCGTTAAGACTGACTGACAGACAGACAGACAGACATCCACCACACGCGCACGCACACGCCCACGCCCACGCTCATGCCCACAGGGGCTTCGCGGGGGCAGGGCCTGGCGAAAGGTGTGGGTGCGGGCTGCCGGAACCTGGGGGCGACGCCTCCTCACCATCCCACGAGGGAGGCCAGTCTGCATAGGCAGAAGTATCGAGAGGCCCGCGGGAGGCCAGTCTGCACAGGCAGAAGTATCGAGAGGCCCGCGGAGATGTCTTGCCGCCCCCTGGCGCGCCTCTCGCGCTCCTGGGGCGAGGGGGCGCTCCAGCGGCGGCGCCGACCCGAGGGGCCCGCCCGGGCGTGGCAGAGGCGTGCTCGCGCGCCTGCTTCGCTGGTCTCGGGGGTGGACAGACCTCCTACCCCGATGCGCCGATTCGCGAGATGGCCGTTTTCGGCTCGCGAGGGGGCGTCGCGGCCGTCGTTTTTGCGGGTCCAGGTCCGTCAGTTTCGGTCCCAGGCCGTTTTCATTATTACGAAAGGGAGGTTTGTCCACCGCCGATGGCCGTCTGCACTCGCCGGGGCCCAGGAGAGCATGGCCCAGCGGCATGCGGCACGCCAGGGCCTCGCCGGGCCCGCGGGGCGGACACGGAGAGCGCCGAGAAGGTGGTGCAGCTGACCCGTGGCTGCCTCTCCCAGTTTGCACCCCCGCCCTGGTTCGCCAGAACGTCTCCGCCCACGGAGCTTTGCACTCCTCACCGCCCCGCGGTGTCCCTGCGCCCCGCGTCGTCCTGTCTGCGCGTCGTCCGTCGTCGTCGTGGTCCGTCGGCCGCCGGTCGTCGGGCGACCGTCGGGCGCCTGCCGTCGGTCGACCGCTTTGCCGTCGTCGGTCGATCGTCGGTCGTCGTCGGTCGTTGTCTGTCGTTGACCGCTCTGCCGTCCTCGGTCGACCGTCGGTCGTCGTCGGTCGTCGTCGTCTGTCGTCGGCCGTCGGCCGTCTGTCGTGGTCGTCGTCGTCGTCGTCGTCGTCGTCGTCGTCGTCGTCGTCGTCGTCGTCGTCGTCGTCGTCGTCGTGGTTGTGCCGGAGGGGCCGCGCTCGCTGCCGCGGACGCTGGCGCGCGGCGGCCAGAAGGGCCCCGGCCCTATCGGGCGCTTCGATCTCGGCCTCGATCTCGGGCGGTCGCACCCTGGTCGTCGGAGGTCCGCCGGAGGCCGCTGAGGCCGCGCGGGCGGGCGCGGTAGGACTGGCGAGGTCACCCAGAGATGCAACATAATCGATCCCCTCAGAGCTGATATGTCGCTTGGCATCTTCCACGCTGCAGTGGGGGCCCATGCCAAGAAACACCCTGCTTGCCTCCAGGGTGCCCTGGGTTTTTCCTGGGCTTCGGTGGTTTTTTGCTGCGGAATGGCGCGACTTTCCCGAGCCAGGAATCACCGGACGTCCTGGGCTCTCGGGGCTGGGTTTCTTGTGGAAGACCTCTCGTGGTCGGGCCCCTGCTGCACGCCCACGCGAGCAGCCCTCGAGGCGAGCCGGTGGGCTCGGCTGCAGCTCCTCCACCCGATGCCGACCGCACCCTGCGAGAGCGTCTGGCGAGCGGTGGGTCGGCCGGCCCGGATCAGGGTTACGTCGGGCCTGTCCCTCTACAGGAGGGATATGCGAAAAATAGTCAGAACATGGTCCGGGGACGAGTTATATATGTATATATCTATATATATATGTATATGGATATATATATATATATATATATATATATATAACAATGTTTGACCATTTTGGGGCATCTTTTGCCTATTTTTCATTTGTTTCCGCCCAAGAGAGCCGGGGTGGGGGGGAGGGGTGGTGCGCCTGCTGCGCAGGCGCAGGCTCTTCCCGGCGCCCTGCGGCGGCGCCTCCGAAGCGGATGCTCTTGCCCACCCTTCCCTGCTCCCCCCGACGCGGCCGCAGCCAGAGACTCAATTGGCCAGCGGCGGATCGGCTGGCTCGGATCTGGGGGGCAAGTTCAAGCAGTGGCGAAGCGTCCCGGCGTGCCTATAGCCATGCCCAACAATGTTCTAAGAAACTGTTGTGGTTTCCACGAAATGTTCTGAGAACATGTTTTGCTGGGACTGTCTTGTTTGAACGCATGAGGCTGATGTGCTAAGAATAGTGTTTTTGTTCTTAGAACATCTTTGGGTTCTAAGAACATGTCGTGGTAGGACTACAGGAATGCCTGGACGGTCGGTCCCTGCTCAACAAGTGGCGGGGCTGGATCTGCACGCTCCACGCCGTCTGGCTGGCCAGGGAGTCCAGGAGAGCTCGGTGCGTGACTTGCTGTATAGCCGAACGCCCTGGCGTCCCGGCGCTCGGGAAGCTGTGCCGTGCGCGCGCCAGACCTCTTGGCCGACCCCACGACCTGGTGATTATTTTCGCCACCACCCACGAAACCACCCAAACCCAGCCCGAAGGCCCCGATAAGCCCTCCATTTCCAGTGGGGGGGGGGTCGGGGAACATCGGCAAAAACACACATGGACCCCGCACCCCCCCCCCTCAACCCGAAATTCGGGTCTTCGGGTTGAGATTGGGTTGGTCTGGTAGGTAGTCTCGGGCCGGACGAAAGGGGGGGATTGGGAAAGGGGGGGTTACGAAATCTGCTGCATGCGGCTGGTTTCGGCCCCGCCGAGGGGTCCATTCCTCGATACAGATGGCCGCCTCCGGCGCCGGGGCGCTCCAGGAAAATCAGCTATACGTGAGCGGATTCTCAACCCCCCCCCTTGCCATATCCCGCCTTGTCGCCCGGCCCGATCGCCGTTTCGGGGTTCGATCCTGGGCCCGCTCCAGCTCTGAGCCTGTTTTTTTTTGACTCTGGCAAGTTTACTTGCATGGACGGGGGGGGCGGGGGCTGAGCCTGAAGCAAGCCGCAAACGACTTGCACGTTCGGGGGGGCGCGGAAAGCACGCAAGTCAAAGGGGGCACTTGCACGCTGGTATTCGCTTGAAGAGGGGCGAGGGGGGGGGGGGGGCGAACGCCGTGCAAGTAAACTTGCCCGAGTCCAAAAAGACAGGCTCTTTCGGGGTTCGATCCCGGGACCGCGGGAGAAGCCGCGGGTAAGGACCGCGCCCGGGACCGCGGAGGAGCCGCGGAGCGCAGCCTCGGCAGGGAGCCCCGCGGGGCGCCGGCGCGGCCCGCCGGCGGAGACCGCCGGGGGCAGACCGCCCGGGGGGCCCGGGGGGGCAGCTTCGAGGGGTGCAGATGGCCGAGTGCTCGTACGCCGGGCAGGTGCCTCTGCCGTTGTGGAGGGCGATCGATGGAGAGGAACAAGCCCAGACCCCCTCGAGTTCTGAAAAGATCACGACGGGAGGTGTTTCATTCTTTTTGGCCTTTGGGGGCCCTTACCGGCCCTCGGGACCGTCAAAAAACGACTCAGGACGAAGAACCGGTCCCGGGGAAAGGGTCCAGACCGCTGGGGGTCGACGTCATGAAAAATTCATGACGTCGGGGGTCTGGGAATGTTGCCACATTCTTTCCAGATGTCCAAAGCATGTGTTCCACATGCTTTAGATCTGTTGAAAAGCGTATGGATGAAAGCATGTTTAGGACCAGTTTCTGGCAGTTGAAACACATCAAAATTCAATGATAGGACCGTCAGGGTGTCCATTGTCGTGGCATCCACAACTCTACCGAGGGGGATATTCAAGAATAGTCCGGGTACGATTTCCCGTGCTCTCTTGACTATGTTTGCATATTGTCTGATTCGTTTGGACGTGGCTTCCAACATCCGCCCGTGTAGGAGGACATGCCCGACCCAGGAGTACCCAGATCCCCGACGCCACGGTCTTTCCCATGGCCTGGACCCCCCCCCCCCCGGCGGTCTGGACCCGTTTCCCGGGACCGGTTTTTTCTCCTCCCGAGGCGTTCTGTGTCGAGACGGTCCCCGCGAGGCCTGGCGAGGGCCCCCTCCCGGAGGCCGAACATGGCGAAACACCTCCCGCCGAGATTTTTTTTGCCTGGCGGCGCGCGCCAGGGGGGGTGGGGGCAAGGGGGGGAGGGGGGAAGGCTTCTTATAGCAGCATCGGGGGTGGACAGACCTCCTACCCCGGCACGTCGATTCGCGAGTTGGCCGTTCTCGGTTCGCGAGAGGGCGTCGCGGCCGCCATTTCTGCGGATCCAGGTCCGTCGGTTTCGGTCCCAGGCCGTTTTCACTAAAAAGGGAGGCTTGTCCACCGCCGAAAGCACCCCTGCGTCTTAGAAGGTGCTGGCCTTCTCTTCCAGATGTAGGGCCGGCGTCTCCTGAGAAGCAGGGGTGATCCTGAGAAGCCTTCCCCCCACCCTTCCCTGGCCCCTTGTGCGCGCCGCCGACAGAGGTTGAAAATGGCGAAACGCCTCCCGTCGAGATTTGTGTCCTCGTGCCTCCGCTGTTCGCTCCTCACGCCTCTGTTTCCCAGAGGAGGAGGAGGAGGCGAGACAGCGAGGATGGCGAGAAGAGGGGAAAGGATGTGCGCCGATGAACAGGACGACGAAGACGACACGCCAAGGATCGTTTCAAAGGGCGGGGGTGGTACTGGCGGCAGCATATGGGAAACAGGATGCGGATTCAGGAGGAGGACGACGAGAACGACGGCAGGACGAGGAAGAATCCCAGACCTTCCCTGCGATGCAGATCCCTTCGAGCCTCGCCCAATGAGGGGCGGGGAAGGCCCCCCCCCCCGAGGCTCCGGCAGGGTCTTCCCGGAGCCTCCGCCGGGCGCGCTGCCGGGCGCGGGGCGGACGGTGCCCCCGGGCCGGGCGGCAGGGCGGCGTCGGCGGTCCGCCATCGGGCAGGCACGAGCTGGGAGCGGAGTCGAAGAAGAAAGAACGCCACAACAACAGACGATGCCCCCAACATCAAAGGGGCACGATGCCCCCAACATCACATGTTGTCCAAAACCTGCCTCACATGGAGAGCGTCCGCGTAGCGACACAGAGTCCTGCTCAAAACGGACACGAACTGGGGTCGGCATTTGTCCCCATGCCTTCAGTAGAAGAAGAACAACAAGGCATACTGTTTGCGCTCCGCGCGGATTTCTTGGATCTGCGCTGGACCCCCCTCCCTGGCGCGCTCGAGCGCGCTAGGGGGCGGCGCTGGAGGCGCCGATGCGGGAGGGCCAGGCGCGGATCCAAGAAGTAATCCGCGCGGAGCGCCAACAGTTTATGTCTATGCCGTTGTTTCTTTGCCTACGGAAGGCATGGGGACAACTAACTACTCCAGATTTCGTAATAAAAGGGAG